GTCTCGCTGAAATAAGTCCTGGGCCTGGGGAGCATAAGTATCAACCAGGAAGGCCAGGACCCAAACTGTAATGTCATCACCCAGGGCTCCTGCTGCGCTCAGGCCTGCTCCTGGAGCCCCACAGATGCTACGTCCGCCGACGAATGGGTGAACACGTGCTACCAAGAATTATATTACCCTAGGCTCGGGAGAGAGCAGGCTTTCTTTCAGACTAACCAGTCTTTCCCAGTCCTCCTTGGGCTTGTGCTGGGTCCTCCCCCATCCAGGTTGGTCCTTTTCTCAGAATTTCCAGTCTAGATGCCGCCCTTTATGTCACCATTTTGGCTACCGCTGTGTCTTCCTCAAAGTTCTGCTTCGTCATCTGGTTTCTGCTGCCCATGCGCTAGTAAAGGAGTTTCTCCCACTCCGCCCTCAAACTCCCAATAGCGGCTGGCCCGGGAGATTCTTCCTGCCTGCTCTGGAACTAAGTCCCCTTGGTGGAGGGTTCGGCGTTCCCTGGGGGCCTGGGTGTGCTGTGGCTTCCCAGTGAATCAGGCTTAACATCGGAGTCCATTGTTCCCTTTCTTAACTAGCTACCTCTAACAGCAAGTAAGATAAGTAATATCTATCTTGCAATATTTTAAAAACCAAGATCAATACAATAGAAATCCCTATTGCGCAAAATATCAAACAAGGCCTGGATGAGGGTGGGCTTGTGAGGTGTGCCAAGGCTTAGGGCCTGCGATGGCCAAGCCTGTGTTACCTGCTCATCTGGGTAAGGATGGGAAGGCTTATAGTGTCCGAAGGCAACTTCAAACAGTCCCTTAGGATAGATGGGTGCTGCTTTTAGAAGAACGGGATATTGTTTGTCTGCCCTGGCACTAAGTGCTTTTACATGTATATTTTATTTTCTTACTCTTTTTCCCTCATAGCAAACCTCACTTTATAATGAGGAACATGAAGAACAAAATAAGGTGGGCAAGGTCACAGAATCTTATATAGAATCTGAGGCTAGGCTTTGGTCCTCTTTGGACTCCAGAGCATGAATTCTTGAATTTTTGGCATCATCTAAAGCCGTGGCCTGTTAGAAACTTAGCCAAAGGCCGGAGCTATTAGTTGTCCTCTGTTAATGAGTGGCCCCAGGTGGCTAGTCTCAGTAACCCCTTCCTGGCTCTTTGTTCTGGTTGGCAGATGGCTTTCAGAAGTTGGGAGAGCCAGAAGCCCTCACCCACTTTTAGAATTAGCCCCTTGTTTCAAAGCAGCAAGAGATCGGTGCATATTTCCAAATTAAATTACAGACACTGCAAGCGTTAAGTGGCAGGTGAGCTGCACTTTAAATAGATCACATTAATTCTGGCAGTGGAAGCGGAGCCCTGCTGGGATAATTCTTATCATCAGCATCGCTCTGGCAAGCTTTAGAAGGATTCTGTAGCGGTAAGCAATTTGGGAAATTGAGAGGTGAAAACACACCTTCAAGTGTTTCATGTGCATTCAAGGTCAGAGGGAGGTGACTGCAGTTTTCAAGAGAGATGGAGGTGAAAGTCACTTGATGCTAAAGGTGATGGAAATCCGGATGGTTGTCTGGTGGGCCCACTCAGAGTACTGCTCTCACCAAATTCCCCCTGCTCCGGTTTCCGAGAGGCTTCAAGTGGAAAGAAGGCTGTTAGCACACTTGTGCAGTTTGGGTTTGGGAAAGGGATTAGTTTCACATTTAGGCATCGAGACAGAAGATCGCCCTGAGTGAACTCCCCTGTTGGTGGTTTTTCCAGTCATTCTCCGGACATTTATTGTAAATGATCCCAGAGGTTGGCATGATCCATCCAAAAGTATGTATGCACACTTCCGTACATACTCATTTAGATACTGTTAACAGAAAAAGGGAAAGAAGAAACAACTCAAATGCTCTCATATGAGAAGGGTAAATGATGGTTAGTCATCATGGACTATGTATTGTGCTCAGTGCTTTACCGCCCTTTTCTTTCTTTCTTTCTTTTTTTAAAAATATATTTTATTGATTTTTGTACAGCGAGGAAGGGAAAGAGATAGAGAGTTAGAAACATCAATGAGAGAGAGTCATTGATCAGCTGCCTCTTGCACACCCCCTACTGGAGATATGCCCACAACCAAGGTACATGCCTTTGACCGGAATCGAACCCGGGGCCCTTCAATCCCCAAGCCGACGCTCTATCCATTGAGCCAAACCTGTCCCGGCTTTACCACCCTTTTCTCCAGTTTCCCCAGTAACCCGGGTATTCTGTACTTGGGACCTTTTGTTAAGGGAGAGGAATCTAAAACATATCATGTTTAAGTGACCTGCCCATGGTCATTCAACTGAACAATCTTTTCTTTCTTTTTTTTTTAATTTTTAATTTTTAATTTTATTGATTTTTTAGAGAGGAAGGAAGAAGGATAGAGAGCTAGAAACGTCGATGAGAGAGAAACATCGACCAGCTGCCTCTTACACCCCCCCTCCCGGGGATGTGCCCGCAAGGTACATGCCCTTGACTGGAATCGAACATGGGACCCTTCAGTCCGCAGACCGACGCTCTATCCACTGAGCTAAACCTGTTTCGGCCTGAACAATCTTTTCACCTGTTGTTCTGCCCACTGGTCTGGAAGTTTGTTGGGGATGAGTCCTTTTAGGCTTTGCCTTTTAGGCCATCATCTTGCCTAGTCCATGGCTCCTGGTCAAATGGTAGTTGATGTGGCTGAGCTGAAATATCAGAGTGAACATATTAACACGACGCCCAGTGTGTGATATGTATATGCGCATCCTTCTGGAGGGAAGATTCACAGACCTTGCCACATTCTCAGAGGGGTCTTGGGACCTGTTATGCTCCTGGATTAGAATCTTTGTCTAGTAGCAGACCCAGTATTTCCTCTCTTAGTATATTAAGCATTTGTGAACATGATCATTTTAAAATATATTTTATTGATTTTTTACAGAGAGGAAGAGAGAGGGATAGAGAGTTAGAAACATTGATGAGAGAATCATTGATCAGCTGCCTCTTGCACACCCCGTACTGGGATGTGCCTGCAACCAAGGTACATGCCCTTGACCGGAATCGAACCTGGGACCTTTCAGTCCACAGGTCGACGCTCTATCTACTGAGCCAAACCGGTTTCAGCGAACATGATCATTTTATTTTATTTTATTTTATTTTATTTTATTTTATTTTATTTTATTTTATTTTATTTTATTTTATAATCAATCTTTATTGTTCATATTATTACAAAGGTTCCTCATTTCTTCCCCCCTCCACCAGGTTCCCACCCCACCCTCCACCCCCTCCCCATCCCCCATTGTCCTCATCCATAGGTGCACAGTTTAGAACATGATTATTTTAAAGAATGTAGACACCCTCCTCACTTGGCAAGGCAGTATGGTTTGTAGTTCGACAGCTCTGAGTTCCATTCTGCTGTATTGCTTATTGTGTATTGCTGCGTGAGTTCCTTCACTTGTCCAGGCCTTGGACCTTGCCTTTGACATGGACTTGACCTTGGTGGTTATGAGGACTGAGTTCAGATATAAAATGTTTACTACAATGGCTGGTGTATACTTAATGCTCAATAACTAGTATTGGCTGTTGCTGTTGTTACTGTTATTGGCAGTAGGTAAAAGTGTTGATGTGAAGTAAAGAAAATTGATCACAACATTAGATATATACTAGAATTACAACTAGGAAAAAAATCTGTGTGGGCATGGATAAAAAAGGGGGGATGTGAGGAGGTACTATGACTATTTTATGGATAAAAACAAACTTTCTTAGCTTTTCCTTAAAGCCTTAAATCTGTTCCTTTCTCAGACCTAAGGAACTCTGCCCTAAGAAATTGGAAATGAGGACAACTAGTTATGTACAAGGATGTTCAAAGCAGTATATAGGAAAAATTGGTAATATATCATATTCCCCGCTGTAGAGAAACAGTTAAATAACAGGGAAGCCATCAAAAATCATATTTCCAAAGATCTTTAAATATTATAGGAAAATGTTCATGATATAGACGAGAAAAAATAAATGAGGGTACAAGACTATTGTGTATTTGTATATATATGTATGTATACATATACACCCATTTACCATACACACAATACAATGGTATATGAGTTATTTGCTATAACAAATTACCACAAAGCTGATGGCTGAAAACAACATAAATTAATTTTCTTATACTTACGAAGGGCTTAATTCAAAGGCGATTTCACTGGATTAAAGTAAAGATAACATCAGGCTGGTTCCTTCTGGAGGCCACAGGGTAGAATCTTCTGGCTTCTGGCATTCCTGGCTGTCACTGGCTGCATCATTCCAATCTCTGCTTCCCTAGCGCTGTCACCTGCTCCTCTTCTGTCCGACCTCCCTCCACCTCCCTCTTATAAAGATAATTGTGATGATTATGGCCACAATAATCAATGTCCTCTCCTTCTCAAGACCCTTAATTTAATCACATCTGCAAAGGCCCCTTTGCCATATAAACCAACACTCACAGGTTCCAGGATTAAAATTTGACTATCTGCCGGACCGGTTTGGCTCAATGGATAGAGCGTCGGCTTGGGGACTGAAGGGTCCCGGGTTTGATTCCGGTCAAGGGCATGTACCTTGGTTGCGGGCAGATCTCTAGTAGGGGGTGTGCAAGAGGCAGCTGATCGATGACTCTCATCGATGTTTCTAACTATCTCTCTCCCTTCCTCTCTGTACAAAATCAATAAAAAATATATTTAAAAAAATAAAATTTGATTATCTTTGGGGGTTATAAGTCATCCTATCACAGATGTTGATTTTGTATAAAAAAGAAAAACACAGAAAGAAAGAGTTTGGAAGGAAATACATGAAGATGTCAACAATGGCCATCTCTGGATGGTGGACTTGGGGGTCATTTTAATTTTCTGTATACTCTTTGGTATCTTTCTTTTCTGTGCTAAGGAAGTAGCTCTTTTACAGTCTTCAAAGATGCTCAGGGAACACTAATAAAGGTGATGTGCACCCAGGCCAAGTGCCACAGCGCCTGTCCCGCTGTCTCCCCAGAGCCCGTGTTCTGGTTCTACGTGAAGGAGGTCCTCAGCAAGCACGAGCTCCAGCGCTTCTACTCCCTGCGCTACATCACCTCGGACGTGGGCCGCGGCCGGGCCTGGCTGCGCTGCGCCCTCAACGAACACTCGCTGGAGCGCTACCTGCACATGCTCCTGGCCGACCGCAGCAGGCTCAGGTACCCGCTGGTGGGGTTCTGGGAGGGGGGGAGGGGGTGTAGACGAGTGGTTAAAACCACAGAACCTGGAATCAGAAGCCTGGATTTACATTCTAGGTGCTCCCCATCCCTCCCCTCCCCCTCCCCACCGCTCACCCTGCTCACAGTCCCATTTGTACATGAGAGAAGGCCTGTAAAAGGCTCAGCACGGCCCCTGCATATAGCAAGCACTTGAATGCTTATTATTCTTAAGGCTGTGGTGTGGAGAGGTCTATGGTTATAGATCACAGCCTGCTCCTCACTTCATGGAATTTGAATTCGGGCTCTTTTCAAGGTTCAGAATTTCTTTCTCTTTAGATATTGGATGTTTAGTGCCCAGTTTCAGTTTTTTCTTACAACTCTTTCTGTTTTCTTTTTTGTTGTTGAGGTTAATCAGTATCAGTACCAAACGACTGAAAAAAATGTGGAAGTTTTAAGTTGGGAAGAGAAGTCATTTGTTATTAAAAAACAGGCCCTCCAATTTTATTATATTTTCTTTTTTTCTTGATCATAAAGTTCACTCTGTCAGGTAGCACAGGCCAGGTTGTGCTGCCGTAACAAACATGAAGACCCAAGTGGCTTGAGTTAGCCGAGTTTATTTCTTCCCTCTGCTTCATGTCTCTTGTGGGTGAATAGGGATTCTCATCGCAGGGACCCAGGCTGATGGAGGCTCCATCTCTATAAAGATGTGGTTGAACTAAGCACTGGCTCTTAAAGCTTCTGCCCAAAGTGATGCTTCACCTACTCAGGGTAGAGAGATGTGGTTATGCCACAGCGATGGTGAGAGGACACTGAATATGCTCATTGGTAATACAGTCAGCCACATTTTCTTCAGAAACATTGACATTCCTATCATTTTTCCTGTGCTCATGATGTTTATGATGTTTTCCTCTCTCTCCCAGTCTCTCTCTCTGACTTGGGCTATTGTTTTTCCTTTGAGAATGGTAGACCAGACTTGTAGGGTTGTGGTGGTATGTATGTATGTATGTATGTATTTATTTATTTATTTTTTATTGTCACCTGAAGATACAAAGGGTCAGTGATCAATCCTGCCCTGGTCCCTTGAGTAACTTCTGCATCAGCAGTGCCCGCGTCCTTATCAGTGAAGTTTCATTTAGCTCAATAAGTTGGCATTTCATTAGTGCCATGATGAGTTCCCTGTCTCAAGTCTCTCCCCAGTTTGTTTTGCCCCTCAGGTCACCTCTCCTCTGGAATTTATTAGGCATTCTGGGATTGTGTGCTGTGGCTCTCACAGATACCTTTGAAGTTCTCCCATTGATGCTACCTGGGGTGCTTTGTCCAGATCTGTGCTCAGACTCTGTGGATCTGAAATAGGAGGGGTAGGGCCAAGACGCCTGGTGCTGCCTGCATCTGTGTGCTGCCTAGGTCTGAGTTGAATATCTCTATGTACCTCCCGAGCATTAATCAGCATTAATTAAGGAGAACATACTCATGTTCCTAAAAATGGATTCTAGTCAAGGTCTTTCCACCACATCATTTGAAAGTGGCTGAGTTGTACACTCCACATCAAAGTTGAATTAACAATGAGCAGTTGAAGTGAATCCAGATGTTAAGAATCATAGTCTAATTTACCTAAATCACTAGTCACTTTAACCTACTTCAATGTGGGAAAACCAAATTCATTTACATACATGAAAACTGACTCAGATATTTAAAGAATCAGAATTTGGGGGATCAGAGGTACTGTTGCCCTGCCAGCTTAGACCTGTGGTTTGTGCTTCTCCTGCCATTCTGCTGGCCCATGTACTGAACACACATGTCCTTTCTCTTTCTGTTAAGTTGTATTCAGTCACTTGTGTCCAGCCTCCTGCTGAAGTACAGCTCACTCCCAACTGACTGTTTTAGTGAAATTTAGCTCTGACTCCACTCATCTAGAGTTCTCTGACCTGGCGGGAAGTCAGATGGTTAAGGGTATTTGCTTGTTACCGCTTAGCAGGGGGCTGGATAAAGAGCTGGGAACTGGAAGGGGAGACCTGCTTTTGAGCTGCATTTATTGCTGAATGACCTTGGACACACTCTGTAGACCTCTCTGGCCCCTCCCCCACTTAGATTTGTGAGGTCTTTTTAGCTTCCCAGCCTAACGGGCTTTTGGGTCTGTAGCCCAAGCAGATATTACATACAAATGCTGTGGTTGATGGACTGTGAGCTTTATAATTTCTTTCTGAAATGCTCTCTTCTTGTGTTAGCCCCGCCTGGACTTCCTGCCTGTCTTTTGGAGATCTTGCTTGAGTGGCAGTCACCCCTCTGTTTGTGCCCATCTGCTGCTTCATAAACACCACATTTACATCTCCTGCCTATTTCAGTGCTGTCAAGCTCTGGGGACTCTAAAGATCTCGGGGGACCAATGAGGAAGTCGTAGGGTCTAAGCAGTCAGTCCTTAGTTTATAACCAGAAGCTTCATCCCAGCAGAGACTCCTATCTTCACTGCGGTGACCAGGCGTGGCTTTTCCAGGAAGCCAGATAATGGAACTGTCTGGCTAATGGGCACAGAGAGCCACTACTTAGAGCCTTTTCCTTTTCTCTTTCAATTTGCAGCACTTTTTATGAAGACTGGTCTTTTGTGATGGACGAAGAAAGGTCTAGCATGCTTCCTACCATGGCAGCTGGTAAGCCCGGGCAAGGCCGAGGTGATGGGTCCTGGAAGAAGAAGAGGGGTTTTCCTTATTCCTCAGCAACTTGAGGCGCTTGCCACCGTCTTTCCTCTAATGGCATTGAATTTGATGCCCTGGCAGGGAGAGCACCGGGTTGAGGGTTTTTGGCTGTGGCTTTGCAAGTGTAATAGAAAGACCTGTGGGTTGGAGACAGGAGACCTGTCATTGAAGCCTGGTCTGACCCCTTACCAGCTGGGGACCTGGGGCAGATACTGTTACTGTTACTTTCCTTCTCTGCAAGGTGGGGGTCCGGATGACACGGCCGTTGTCATATAGGGCTGTGAGAGAATCAAATGTGATAGTCATGTACACCATTTGTCAACATGCAAACTTCGAAAGATTTTTTTTTTTTTTTTTTGTGATTTATTAAATTGTTTATCATTTGACTGACTCAAAAGGTGAAACAACTCAACAGAAGTGGGCAACTTTTGCTACTTTCTTCTAAATCCTCTGTTGCCTTCTTTTTCTTTTTCTTTCCTCAAAGTTTGCACCAAGTCCCAAATATTGAGAGTTACGTTAGCTTAGACCATTGATGAGGAAGAGTCAGGGTTTGACCATGATTTCCTGTGGGCCATAGGATACCAGTGCAAATTTTTCATAAGTAATTCTACTAATGATATTGGTGTACCTATTGTAATTGTTTACTGAGCTGAGTGTTTCTGGTGGGCGCTGGTCTTTATAGTTAACCCGTGAAAGAGATATTGTGTCTCTATTTTATAGATAAGGAAACTAAAGCTCAGAGAGTTATAAATGGCTTGACCAAGGTCTCGTAGCTCGTATGTGGCAGTGCTGGGATTCAATCCAGGCAGTCTGACCTCAGAACCTATGACTTACCTTCCCTCTTGACAGAGAGGAAAAGAATTTGGAGTGACTCAGCTTCTGTGGTAGCTGCTGTTCACTGACCCCAGTTGTGGGAGGTTTCAATCAGCTTTTAAGATCAGTGTGTGCCCTCCTGTGTACGGTACTGTCTGCAGCTCGTTTGTCGTGTTGGAGGCGTTACTGTCCAACAGCATACACTCCATGCTTTTCCTTTTGTGCGGAAGGTCTGAACTCCATACTCTTCGCGATCAACATTGACAACAAGGATTTAAATGGGCAGAGCAAGTTTGCTCCTACTGTCTCGGACCTCTTAAAGGAGTCAACGCAGAACGTGACTTCCTTGCTGAAAGAGTCCACGCAAGGAGTGAGCAGCCTTTTCCGGGAGATCACGGCGTCCTCTGCTGTCTCCATTCTCATCAAGCCTGAGCAGGAGACTGACCCTCTGCCCGTCATGTCCAAGCATGTCAGTGCAGGTGAGCAAAGCGTTTGAGGTAGAGCAGAGGGGCCAGCCATGGCCGAGGTGGACTCACCTCATCACCTGAAAGTGCCAAGGGGCCTGAATCTGACGCACTTGCATTTTCAATTCACATTTGTTTTTATTCTTTTATAACCTTTGACAGGAATTGAACCTGGGACCCTTCAGTCCATAGGCTGACACTCTAATAACCACTAAGCCAAACCAGCTAGGGCTATAACCTTTGGATAAAAGTGCTTAGAAGAACTGCTTAGAGGAACAATTTTAACATTTTCTTTGTGGCATATTTTAAAAATTATTTTTATTTTTTTAAATTTATTTTTCAATAACCCTTGACATGCAATATTATAATAGTTTCATATGTATTGTTAACATGAAAACCATCGAAAGAATAAAGAGTAAAGAGTTTTTGTGAGTTTATTTGAGCCAAATTGTCGACATATGCCAGGAAGCAGAACCTCAAGGAATTGAGATAATGCTTCAGAGAATGGAAGGTTACATCTGTATTTATACATTGCAATCAAAGGAAAGGGATGTAGGTGGGTTACATGAAATCCATTGGTGGTAAATTGAGGAGGTGGCATAAAACAAAGCAGGGAAACCTCTGGGATAGGATAAAAAGTGAAATGATGGACATATGCTTCTTTTAAAGAGATGGATACAGGATAGTTTAACATAATTAACAGTTGACAATAAACTTGATAACAATAACAATGAGGGAATGCCCTAGTGCCATTTGTATTGCCCCTGAGTAGTTTGGGGGTGGGGGGAGGAGGGAAGTTACAAGTTACCCATACATTTTGCAGATACGCTATCTTAGAGGCAAAAAGACAAATGGGATCAGTAAAGATCTAAGTTGATTGTTGTCAGGAAAAATACTGGCCTAGGACATGACTACCCACTATAACCTGTTTGTAGTTAAATATTTAATTTTCAAACCATCTTTTGTTATTTTAAGTCTCTGAGTTTGAAAGATTGCCATGTAGGCCTCTCCTGAGTTGTCAGGTTAGCATGTGGCCCCTTTCATCCACAGTGTACAAAGTGGTTAGATATTTATATATCATAAAGTGATCCCCCTCTACCCCGTAAGTCTAGTACTTATCTGACACCATACATAGTTACTATAATAGTATTGAGTATATTCCCTATGGTGTACTTTATATCCCCATGACTATTTTTATAACTGGCAATTTGTACTTCTTAATCCCTTTCATCATTTTCACACATCTCCTCACCTTTCTCCCGCCTGACAACTATCAATTTTTTCTCTGTATTTCTGAGCCTGTTTCTATTTTATTATTATTGTTTTTTAGATTTCACATATGAGTGAAACCATATGGTATTTGTCTTTCTCTATCTGATTTACTTCACTTAGCACATAATACCCTCTAGATCTATCCATGTTGTTGCAAATGGTCATATTTCATTCATTTTTCATGGCTGAGTAATATTTCAGTGTATATATGTACCACATCATCTTTATCCATTTGTCTGTTGATGGGCACTTAGGTTGATTTCATGTCTTGCCTATTGTGAGTGATGCTGCATTGAACATAGGGATGCATATATCTTTTCAAATTCGTATTTTAATTTCTTCATATGAATACCCAGAAGTGGAATTGCTGGGTGATATGGTAGTTATATTTTTTAAATTTCTGAGGAATTTCCAAACTTTTCCATAATTCCTGCACCTGTTTATAATCCCTCTAACAGTGTAAGAGGATCCCCTTTTCTCCACATCCTTGCCAGCACTTTTTGTTTATGGTTTTATTGATCATAGCCATTCTGACACATATGAGGTGATATCTCATTGTAGTTTTAATTTGCATTCTCCTGATGGTTAGTGATGTTGAGCATCTTTTCATAATGTCTTGGCCATCTGTATGTCCTCTTTGGAGAAATCTCTGTTCAGGTCCTCTGTCCATTTTTAGATTTGATTATTTGGTTTTTGATGTTAAGTTGTATGAATTCCTTATATATTTTGGATATTAGCCCCTTACCAGATATATCATTGGGGAATATCTTACTCCGTTCAATAGATTGTCTTTTCATGTTTCTTCTTCTTCTTCTTTTTCTTCTTCTTCTTCTTCTTCTTCTTCTTCTTCTTCTTCTTCTTCTTCTTCTTCTCTCTCTCTCTCTCTCTCTCTCTTTCTCTCTCTCTCTCTCTCTCTCTCTCTCTCTCTCTCTCTCTCTCTTTTTAATTGTTTGAAGCATTACAAATAATAGTACATATGTCTCCTTTCCCCCCCCTTGACCTCCCCACTATCTTTTCGGGTTTTTTTTATTGTTTCCTTCACTGTGCAAAAACTTCTTAGTTTTGGCTTAGTCTCATTTGTTTACTTTTTCTTTTGTTTCCCTTGCTTGAGGAGACACATACTTTTTTTTTCAGTCTTCTAATAGATGTTTTTCCAAAGGATTTAAGAAAGTCTGAATAGTAGTAGAGTAGGAGAGGATTTTCCAAGATCTTGAGTCAATATGGCTTGATCACCTCTTTATCTTGCCTATTTTATTTTTATATCATATCTTGTCTTTTACTAGATGCCAAATGTAAAAAGGAACGGAAGAAAAAAAAGAAGGTGACCAATATTATCTCATTTGATGATGAAGAAGATGAGCAGACCTCTGGCGATGTGTTTAGAAAGATACTTGGGACTGGGGAGAGCTCAGAGGAGAACTCCGACCGCTCCTCCGTCAATATCATGGCCTTTGAAAGCCCCTTTGGACCTAATTCCAATGGAAGCCAGAGCAGCAACTCATGGAAAATCGATTCTTTGTCTTTGAATGGGGAGTTTGGGTACCAGAAGCTTGATGTGAAAAGCATTGACGATGAAGAAGTGGATGAAAATGAGGATGACATGTACACATCGGGAAGGAAGTGCACGGGCCACTCAGAGTCGCCTGAGAAGTAAGTTCCACTCTAGGTTTTAACGAAGGTAGCACATTAACTGTTTCCTCTTCCTGCAGAATTGGGTGAAAGAAGGGTGCAAGGTTTATATTTGTTTAGGGCATCTTTCGTTTTTCAGATCTTGATTTAGGAGGAAGGAGCATTATTAGCTTGTCGAGTACTAAGAGAGGGGAAGGGAGTATATTTAAAGGTATGTATTCCAAAATTAGTGTCAAGATGTATGCCTTGAAACTTTTGCTTTACATATCCAGCTTTCATTTTGTTTTCTAGCTTCTCCTCCCATCTTTAACTTGCCGCTAGCATAGGGAGCTCAGTAGAAAGGCAGGGTTATTCTAGAAAATAGCCATGGGCTGGTGATGTTTGTGTTTATCCGCAGGATTGTGAACAGCAGTGATTTGCCTGCACCTGCTGCTTTACCACTGGAGTTGCTGTAGATTTATGCCTGTGGAAGGGGCTTGACAAATGAAGGCACAAAGCAAACAAGTATAGTAAAGAGCTTGGATTTTGGAATCGAGACAACCTGGGTCCTCATGTACTAGCTCCCGGGCTTAGATTGGAGGAGGTTGGACAGGTTACTTCACCTCCTGGAGTCTCAGGGCTCATCAGAGACCTGGGAGAAAAACAGTACCTTCTTAGTAGGGTTGTTGTCAAAGAAGTGAGCTGCTCCATGTGGGCCGTCTGCACACTACTATTGTATTAATATTCCCACACTTGCTTTTACTCTTCATGACAAATAAATTAGTTTTCATGTAGGCGTTATGGTGGTTAATGCTATCCTGATCACTCTGACTTCAAAACCAGCCCATAAGAGTGAAACAAAGATTTTGAGATCCCATGGTATGGCTGAACAGTGTGTCTTAGCCCTAAACTTTCCACTTTCATGCTTTAATGGGAGGTTGTTTTTTTCTTCTTCTTTCCCTTTCTCACGAGATTGTGCCTGCTTTTTGTCTTTGATTGTTATCCTGGTCCTCATTCACATGAATACCTGTGTATTAGAAGTATCATCTGATTGACCATCTGTGTGACATGCCAGATGCTACAAGCCATGTATATATTATCCTAATCCGTAGGTTAGTGGATACCATCCCCACGGGATGGATGAAAGAATGGGATTTGTAGAGAGTTGAGATTTGTTAGAGCAATGGGCAAAGCTGGGTTAAGTTTAGATTAAGCTGATTGTACTGTTGAATAGTTTCCATATCATTCTGAATATCCATTGGTTGATGTTCAATTAGATCAATATGTCATGTTTGTTAAAGGTTCCCCCATTGTTGAGTATTGGCATCTTCCTAATGGTAGCTTTGTCTGTTGTCGCTTTCGGTTATCAGCCATTGTGAGAGAAACATTTTCACGAGGAGGTTTTTTTCTCCTCCTGGAGGATTTGTTGGAGTAGCGTCCCTGTGGCTTGTTTTGCTGACAGGCCGTGAATGTTTTGGTTACTGGAAACCAGGTCTTGTGACGGGCTGTGTTAGTCAGGGTTTTCCAGAGAAACAGGATCAAGAGGGTGTGTGTGTGTGTGTGTGTGTGTGTGTGTGTGTGTGTGTCTCTGTGCATTTGTCTGTCCTGAGAGACTTATTTTAAGGGATTGGCTCATGTGATGGTGGAACTTTGACAAGTTCAGAAACTGGAGGGTGGGCTGGCAGGCTAGAGACTCAAGGGAGAGTTGCTGTTCGAGTCCTAAGGCAGTCTGCTGGCAGAACTTCTCAGTCTTTTTCTGTGAAGGCCTTTAACTGATGCGATGAGGCCAACCCAAATTATGGAGGGTAGTCTGCTTACTAGTACTCAGTGTCTGCTGATTTCAATGTTCATTTCATCTGAAAAATACCTTCCCAGGAGCATAGAATAACATTTGATCATATCTGGCTACTGTGGCATAGCCAAGTTGACACTTAAAATTCACCCTCACACTTGCCTTTAGTCTTAATCTAGGCCTTTCAGGAAATGCCACTTGTGTTCTGTGTCTCTGCAGGTGAGAGCAACTGAGTTTATTCACTTCATTGGCCTCAAACACAGTCATTGGCCTCAAACACAGTCTCATTGGCCTCAAACACAGTCATTTCTCTCTCTAATGACCAGTGCCATTGAGGGAGTCTGGAGAGGAGGCCACCTTGCATGCCAAGGCAGCTGCCAGCATTGTGATGTGTGAGGCAGAGGACAGTGCAGGTGACCTTCACAGAGCTGGCCCTTTGGGGCCATGGAGCCTCCTGCAGATTCTGGACAGCCTCTCCTGCGTAAAGGGGGTCTTGAGTGTGCATTCGCAGAGCATCTTGGGAAAGAGCAGAGGAATGATGAGGTGGCTTATGAATAATGCTTTGCTTTAAAATTTTTTTTTTTTTTTATTGATTTCAGAGAGGAAGGGAGAGAGATAGAGAAAGAAACATAAATGTGAAAATCATTGATTGGCTACCTCCTGCACGCCCCGCTTCTGGGGGTTGGGACTCTGAGCCCGCAACCGGGGCATGTGCCCTTGGCTGGAATCTAACCTGGGATCCTTTAATCCGCAGGCCTTGGCTAGGGCTGATGCTTTCCTTTTGATTGTAAGAACCTGTTCATATGTATGGTCTCGGAACCTGAGGGACAGAACTTGAGCAGTGTCACAGCACAGCTGGGTGTGTGAGGGGAGGGGTGGGCCAGGTCAGGGGAAGCACACTGTGGTCTGTCACAGCCTCTGGCAAGGTTGGTGTTCTGAGGGTGTCGAGATGCTCTGTTGGCCAAAGGTTGAGTTTTATGCCTCTGTTTGCTAGCAATTAAACCACTTATTTGATGACTAAGGAAAATCTTGTCCCTCAAGATTTTGGCTTTGCTTTAAAATTTTTTTTATTTTTTAAGAGGATAATACCTTTATTATAGAAAGTAGTTTTTCTGTCACTTCATATGTTCTCTGTGATGCCAGTAGGAAAGTAGAGTGAAAACAATTTCAAACGTGTGGGAAAATGTTGCACCTCCTTAGCAATTAAGCAAATGCAAAGTGAAAGCAGATACCATGCTTGCCCATTCTATTTGCCTAGAGCAGTGGTCAGCAAACTCATTAGTGGTCAGCAAACTCATTAGTCAGCAGAGCCAAATATCAACAATACAACGATTGATATTTCTTTTGAGAGCCAATTTTTTTAAACTTCTTCTAACGCCACTTCTTCAAAATAGACTCGCCCAGGCCGTGGTATTTTGTGGAAGAGCCACACTCAAGGGGCCAAAGAGCCGCATGTGGCTCGAGAGCCACATTTTGCCAACCCGGGGCCTACTAGCATTAAAGTGAGAACTGGGAAAAGGCAGGCCCTGCTTAGTACCCCGGGCCTGGCCTGCACTTGGTGTGTCCTCAGGCTTGGTTTGCTCCAGGCACACAGTAGGTGCTAACTGTGAATGAGTGATGTAAGGCGTCCTCCGTTGCTGGTAGTGTTGGCAGCCCTCTAGAAAACACAGTGTCAGCAGCCTTAACAATGTCGACCTCACTTGATTTAGCAACCCCACTGCCAGAGGGATCTTCTCAAGGGCAGGCTCAGGGAGCAGGCTGCTGCGTCAGATAGCAAAGTCCTTCCTTAGAGAAGCAGAACATCAGAGCCGACCGACACGTGCGACCACAGAGGAGCGGAGTGGTTAACAGAGGATCACATTGCGTGAACCTCAATGTCTTAATGTTTAGGACCTTAAACCTCTCACATGAGAAGTGTAAGAAAGAGCATCCAAGTAGTTTGAAGATTAACTTTGTGAGCTTATGCTGAATGAAAAAAAGGCGAATATAAAATCTTATATTTAGTTTCATTATGGCCTCGTAGAGAAAACTGTGCAAGAAAGAAAAGACACACTAAGAGGAGATAGTGTCTAAATCAGTTGTGTTTTGGGTAATGTGGTGTTTGGTGTAATTTTTCCCCTTATTTTTTAAAAATTTTTTTCTTGGTTTTACAACGTGTTTTACTTTTCTAACAAAAAGCAACACCTGTTCTTACGTTGCTAAGCCAGCGGTGGCACCATATCCTGAATTGGTCTCTGCCTCAGGAACCACTTGGTGTAACTCAGTTTTGAGGTGTGACCCGTGGCCCTGTTAACGGAAAAACCATTGAAACCTGTAAAGAACTTTTGTGACTTTTTTTGAGCCAAACTGTCGTATGCCAGGAAGTAGAACCTCAACGAATTAAGATAATGATCTGGGGAATGGTGATTTTTCATCTGTTTTTATACATTACAATCAAAGGAGGAGACATAGGTGGGTTGCATGAAATCCATTGGTGATAGATTAGGGAGGCAGGAGAAAGCAAAGTGGGGGTGGGGTGGGAGTGGGAAACCACTGGGATTGATAAAAAGTAAAATGATGGACACGTACTTAGGTGGGTGCAGGAACAATTAACATGATAATGAAGGAATTTGTGGTATTTGTCCTGGAACCCAGTACATTAGGTTGTACCAAAGGATCTGAAAAAAGGGAAGCTACAAATTATCCGGACATTATTAAGGGTACATTATTATACATGCAAATGAGACAGATAGGCTCAGTTAAGGTAAAGGTTGACCTTGTCAGTGAAGATACCAGCCTACGACATAACTGCCCACCATAACTACTTTTAGTTAAAGTTTAATTTCAGACCATCCTTTGTGGTTAGTTTAGGTCTCTGAGTCTGCAAGACCACCATGCAGGCCTCCCCTGAGCTTGTCAGGTTAGCACGTGTCCCCTTTCGTCCACAGCCCCTTTTGCTTGGGTCCCAAACCTCAGCTGCTAGAGCCTGGCTCCCCCTTTGCACCCCCATGTGTTGCCGTGAAGTGGCAGGATTTCCCCTCAGGAACAGCAGCAAGAGCAATGGTGGTTTTGCTTCCTTCTGAGAGGTGCCCTGACTGACTCTGGGTGTCTGGGAGTCCCTCAGTCACCAGCTGCTGGACGGGAGCCCCAGGAGGTTCTACAGGTTCTAGGGCCACAGCCCCGTTCACCAAAGAACCAGCTCTCCTCTCTTGTGCCCTAGAGTGCCATCTGAGAGTCTCATTGTGTGTGTACCTGCAGGATTAAACGATACATTTTGCAAAATTCTGTAGACTTCTGTTTGGTGCCAAATGTATGACCGCAAGCTAGAGAGGACTGAAAGCAGAATTTCTACGTGATGATCTTTAAAAGAAGGAGTGGCCAACTACACCTGCTGGCCAGATCCTCTACACAGCTGAGAAGGGTTGGTTGTTACATTTTAAAGGGGTTGTTAAACAAACAAACAAACAAACAAGGCAAAGCAAAACAAACAAAAACCAAAAGAAGAAGAAGAATGGCCACAAGGCTTAAACATTCTGCTACCTGGTCCCTTATAGAAAAAGTGTTCGGTTAGGCTCAGTGGATAGAGCATCGGCCTGCGAACTGAAAGGTCCCGGGTTCGATTCCGGTCAAGGGCATGTATCTTGGTTGTGGGCACATCTCCAGTAGGGGGTGTGCAAGAGGCAGCTGATCGATGATTCTCTCTCATCGATGTTTCTAATTTTCTATCTCTCTCTCTTCTTCTCTGTAAATCAATAAAATATATTTAAAAAAAAAAGTGTTGATCCCTGCTCTAAGGAATGCATCATGCCATGGTAGGCAGGAGCCAGGAGAACCATTGTATCTGGGTTTGGAAGACCTGTGCTTGAGCCCCCCACAACTTTCGGTTCTGTCCTTAAGGCTCATGATCTTGTACAAGTCAGAATCTCTTGAGTTTTTCTCCCTCTCTCCCTTCTTCCCTCCTCTTCTCCCCTTTCTTTGCTCTTTCCTCTCCCTCTCCACCCATCCCTTTCTTCCTCTGTTAAGTAGGTGTGATGATGATCTGCTCTGGTCCTCACAGCTGAGTTACAGAGTGAGTTTGTAGTCTGTGAAATGTGCTGTGGGCAGTACTTTCTCAAATCAGTTGAATTGAGCCAGCCTGGTACTACAAAGATTGTGCAGGTTAGTTCTGTACTTAGTGGATGCGGTGACAATATAACAGATCATATGAACTGGTTAATATTTGAGCTGACCCCCTTTCTTGGAAGGGACCCAGACATGGTCTGGTCTGATTCTGCTCTTTACTTGAGAGGATTTGAGAACCAATACTTGAGAGGATTTGAGAACCAACAAGGCAAAGGGCCAGCCCAGGTCACATGGCTGCCGTCATTTCAGAGCTTGGAACACACTATGCTTCCTCCTTCAGCACTTTGCACATGCCGTTCCCTCCCCTTCCGTCCCTCCCCTTCCATCCCTCTTGTCCCTTCTCTTCACTCAGGTAACTCTTGTGCTTCCTTCAGCTCTCAACTCAAACCTCCCTTCTTCCAGGAAGCCTTCCATAACCTTCTGACCAGCTCTATGAGGATGAGCTACTGTTCTATACCATCTAGGGGGAATATTTGATTCATGTCTGTGCCCCCGAACAGGTGGTAAGCTCCATGAGGCTGGATAAACCCTGTATCCTGGGTCTTTTGCCAGCACAAAATATATGTGCTGCACGCTGCTTGGCATATAGTAGGTGCTCAGTAAACAGTGGTAGAAAGAACAAATGCAAGGGGTCTGGCTCCAGTTTCTGTGCTCCCGACTCCCAGTCTGAATCTCCCACTGTGCCCAGCCCTGTCATGGTTAGTTGCTAAGAAGGAGCTTGTGGGAGGCCCAGCCGATGGTGACCTGAGTCCTCAGGGGCCCTTTGCCCTTTCACACAGCTTTATTCTTTCCTCACAGGCCACTGGATGGGAACACCTGCCTCTCCCAGATGCACAACTGGGCTCCGCTGCAAGTGCTGCATGGCGACACCGATGTCCTCTTTCCGGTCAGCAGCGGGGGCTCCTTCAGCCCTGCAGGTGGGTGCTTCCTGACTGCTCTTTTCCTCCATTATGGTTCCGAGCACCGCAGGGGTGTCTGGGCCACTTCTGCCGGTGGGAGCGGGGGCAAGGAGGCCGGGCTCAGAGCAGAAGCACTGCTGAGATTCGGAGGGACAGAGGCTTTAGCTTCACTTCCTGCTGAACCTGGGTATTTTGAGATGCCCTCATCTGAATGAGTGTTGGGCAGAATGGCTTTGCAGGTTACCAGGGAGCCCCCAGTCTGCTTTTCTTCTTGCCAGTGATTTGTTGAACATGTACAAGCTGACTACAAAGAATGACCATTATTTTTGCCTCTTAGGAGAAAGGAGGTCACAGAACCCATAGCTGTGGAGGCCTGGCACCCTTGGCAGCAGAGTGGTTGGGGTCAGAGAGCAGCTTGCTCAGTGGGTAGCAGTTCTGGCCCAGTCCCTGCTGCTGAGCACACTTATGTGTGGTTTGTTATTGTTTTCTGTAGTGAGGGCAGGTCACGGGGAGAGCGGGGACGGATGTGCAGGAGCCCAGCTGGCCCAGAGGAGTGGGAGTGCATGGAGCTGACTCAGTGCCTGGCACTTCCCTACAGCACCACCAGGTCCCCGAGGACTCAGAGCCTGGCACTTCCCCACAGCACCACCAGGTCCCCGAGGCCATGGTTCCCCCAACCCACCCCTGACGTCTTCCCAGGTTTAAGAAACAGATGCGGCTGCCAGCTGCTCAGGAAGCTGATGGCTTTCTGAACTGGATGACACTGTTGTACTTGCCACTGTGCAGGGAGCACTGGAGTTTCTAGGGTTTGCTCGTGGCTTCCAGGTCACCACCCAGGTCCCCATTCACCTTGTCCCACTCCGCCTGGGGGCGCCTTTCGGGTGGGCTGTGAAGTGTTGCTGGGCTGAGAGGTGCATGCACCATGCAGTCTGTTTTGTTGACAGTGGCTGTTTCATTTCCTAACTGGGCTCCTCTTAACTGTCAGATGCTGGGCATTCTCCCTTCCTCCGGGCTTTCTGTAGACAGTGTCTCTAGGAGAAGTAGCCCCTGGCCAGTTCCAGCCTGGCGGATCCTCAGGGGAAGACATCCTCTGGCAGGTTGCCCACAGTCCCACCTCCGGCCTTTGTCCTCGCAGACCTGAGGCTGTCTTGTCACTGTTGAGGGGACCCGAGCTCCAGCGCATCTGATTGCCCTCACCAGAGAGGCTGCCCAGGAGCCAGTCTGCCAGCTGTTTCCCTGAGAACAGTAACAGAGCTCTCAGCAGCCTTGGACGATGTGAAAGCCGAGGGTCAAGTGCCACGGGAGCATGCACGGGAAGCAGATTCATCCAGGGCCACGTGGAGACACTGGGGAACCCATCACCCGAGTGTATGCCAGATTGCATCAAGTCCCTCCTGCATGATGCCCCGTTTCCATGGCAGGCATGTGGCCCAGGTAGCGCTGAGACCGGTCTGCCTGCAGGGGGACCCTCCCCTAGGCAACACCCAGCATGGCTGCGATTCCTTTCCCAGACTCCTTTTCTTTTCCTCCTTTTCTGACTAGTGCCCCTTCTGGTCAACACCCCCTAATTGAGTGAAGCTAATATATTCTCTCAGTCAGGCCTGAAGCCATTTCATGTCGTTGGTGGTGAGTTTGCACACAGGAGCTCCTCCCTTAGACCTTCCCATCATCTTTGAAAATGTTAGTGCCTCTGCTGTCATCGCCTTTCGGGTATTAGAGAAAGGGAGGGAGAGCAGAGGATAAACGGAGAGAGGGACATGGTGGGGAAGATGGATGTGTCGGTAGCTAAGTCTTGGGAGGAAGAAAGCGGTGGAGAAGGGGACCCTGAACACAGAGTCATTATCCTTTTGGTTCTTGGAAGGGGCGATTCTATGGATCAGGGGCCATGCTTTGGGGTGAGGGAGGGGCCCAGCTCAGGGAGATGCCAGGTCAGGGCTTGGTCCCTAGTAGAGGGTGTGCAGGAGGCATGCTTCTCTATCCCTCTCTTTAAAATGAATAAAAAAATCATTAAAAAATAAAGTAGTGGCAGTACCTTCCTCAGAAGGGGTGTGGCAGATGAGTGCTCTGACTCTGCTCTGTGGCTCCAGGGCCTCAGCTCACTACAACTGTCAGCCCATCACATTTTGTGATATGAACATCACAAAATGTGGAGTTGTCATGGTCATGTATCATTAAGGGAAATCAGCTGGGGCCGTCGGTGTTGTATCTGGAATGCTGGTGGGTGATGGTGGCCTTCACTCCAACTATAGGTTTCCATATGTTGGAGCCCCTGTCCTTGCTTCAGGGAGCATAATCTGATGGCTGTGTGAGTCAGGTTAGAGAGGGTGAGGTGACCTGAGGTGACCTGCTGCAGGACACCCCTAGAAAGTCTGGAGCCTTTGGATGAGGGTGAAAACGGTTGGAAAACAAGGAGTGGAAGGCAGCTAGTGGGGGCTGACAGGTCTGGGCACTACTAGCTCTGTGATGGGAGGGAGGGTGAATGCCAAGCTCTGAGGGTACTGCCAGTGGGAAGTGGTGACAGAAGAAGAGTGGCTTTGAAGGTTATGAGCAGTTGGTGGCCCAGTAGGACATCCCAGTGGAGGTTTCTGGTAGGCAGTGAGAAATGTGGGGCTGGGATTCAAGATTCACGTCCTAGCCAGAGGCAAGGGCTGAGCATGGTCACCTTCCCAGAATGGAGTCTGCTGGATTTATTGGGGACAGAAGCCACAGAGCTGAGATTCAGGGACACCCTTGCTCAGGAATCAGAGAAAAAGACGGTGTGGGAGGGGGACCACAGATAATTGCTATAAAGCCCGAGAAAGGAGTGCTTCAAGGAGGAATGTAGGAGGGGGCTGAGGGAAGTGTTCTTTGGGTCCTTTGAGGGCAAATCCAGTTTCCTGGGAAGATGAGAGCCCCAGGCTCACTGAGTATTCTCACTGAGTTTCACACATGTTACAGTTTAGTATGTGGTAGGCGTTAAGTGTTATGTGGTAGGCAGTAGAGTCATCCCATTTCATAGATAAGGAAACTGAGGCACAAAGAGCATAGGTCACTTGCTGAGTTAAAGCTGGGATCAGGGCTGGAGCTCAGGCAGAGCCCTCAATCTTAAACTAACCCCAATACCCTGGTGTGAGAAAGGGGAGGCGGTGAAGTAGACACTCTCTTTCCCCTTCGAACTTCTTGAAGGAAGTAGGAGTATGTGGAGTAGCTTGATGGTGTCAGCAGGGTGAAAAAAAACATTTTTTTTTCCTTTTAGAAGTCCCTTAGTTGAACCCCCTTAAGAGCTGGGGAGTCTTGAGCGGGACGACACTGGCATAAACGGAAGGAATGAGACGGAGGAGGCTGTCGTGGATGGCTTAGGGAACCAGAGATGTTCCCCTTACCTCTTCCAAATGCCTTTTCCACATGCCGCTGAATGCAGCAAGTGGCTTTTTAGAAATTGGCGGTCACTTCCTTTTGACCCGAGTAGACTCTGTCAGTAATTAGACTGTGCTGCCCTCTCGTGTCCATCTTGAGCCACTACAGGCAGGAGCAGTTTTGTGTAATTGAAAGCTTTGTTCCCTGATTCTGAGGTTGGTCCTGAATATGGAGTTGATGGGGAATTCCAGCTGGCTAAGGTAATAAAGGTTGGGACCTTCTATCAGTGACTGATGCAAAATCTGAGATGGACACCCCCCCCAAAAAAAAAAAACAAAAAACAACAAAACAAAAAAACAACAAAAAAACTGGTAGCAAACAAAAACCCAGTGTAGCGATGAGGAAAAAATTTTCAAGTCAACTTGTTTAGCAGATGAGTCATTGTGCTGTCTGCCTTGTGTCCTCACCTCATGGAGAAAGTGAGATGACAACAGAAACCTGACTTTCTCTCTGTGTTTGCTCTCTGTTCCCAGATGCCCCCCTCGGAAGCCTGGAGAACGGGACAGGACCCAAGGACCATGCTCTCCCAGAGCCTAGACCTCGGTACAGGTGGGTGGTCAGAAACCAGGTTGCCTTTGGGGTTGGATTTATTCAGCATTTTATTATCCTGCGAGGATTGAAGAGCAAGGCCATATTGTGTTCAATTTTAACTTAACATCACAAAATATGGGGTTGTCAGGTGTGGAAAGGCATGAGCGACTCTGTAAGAAATAGGATTTGCATATCATCTTTTCTTGTGCACTTTTGGGGCCAAATCTGGGTACCTGCTCTGTCATTATTTGCTAATTTTAATATTTGATCATGTTGAATAATTAATATTATATAATACTTAAGCCACTTACATATCATATGTTTGTGAAGTGCTTACTTTGGCTATAGTAGTAAGCGCCGTATCAGTTTTCTTTTTTCAAATTGAATTATCTCAATACATTGAATTGCCCAATGGCTGTGTGGTGGCACAGTGAAGTCTCTCTTATGTCTGGTCCTTGTTGCTGTTACCGTGTTTCCTTCTTTCTTGTCGTGGTTTTAATTTGTTGTTTCATTTGCAAGCTCAGCTCCAGGCTGGGAGCCACGATGGCCCCACTCCCTGGGGGAGGGGGGGGCGGGGCTGTGCTCCCTGAGACCACACTGTCTGTAGGAGGTCGTACCCAGCAGGACAGTGGCAGGAAGGGTTGGCCTGACACATCCAGGACTTGAGTCATTTTTTGCTGTTTGTCTTAGAAAAATTGGAAAATGCAGCATGAAATGAAAAAACCACTTTTAACTCCCAACTCTTGTCTCATTGTTGATATTTTGGTTCTTTTTCTCCTAGTGGTGTGTGTGTGTGTGGACGCGAGCATGTGTGTGCATGTGTATAAATGTGTGTGTGTACACATATGTACATGCATGTGTGCTTTAACCATACTGTGGCCCTGCTGTTTTCATAAAAGATGTGCTGTTTTTCCACATTGAAAATTCTTTGTAAATATACAGCCGGTCCTCATTGTCTGTGGTGACTGTGTTCTGTGCAGTCGCTGTGAGGGTGGAACCACTGCTCAGGGGAATTAGAAGACTGGGCTCCTGTGAGCCTCCAGGCCTTTTGTCAGCCAGAACATACCTTTGTTTTATGTCTGTTCCTGTCCTAAGACACTGAATTTAACATACATTGTTGACTTTTTGACATTGAACTCATGGCCAATAGCACTGTAACTCCTGCTTGAACAAAAGGTTACCTAACATGTACTTTCTCCACAGTGGATATCCCAGCCTTCTGGTGGTTGGGAACACCAGAAGGCCCTTTAACACCACCCTTAGGGGTCATTTGAAATAGCACAATCACCAAGAAGTGTGAAAATGTGGCGCTAAGTCACCCGCCAAAGGACACATTGGCAGTATGAGCGTTAAAGATGGAGGCAGAGCTCACCTTGTTGGTGCCAGCTGGGAGCACACACATCTGGAAACCCTGCCGCATGCAGCAGTGAGCATGAAAGCACCGCGGTGTGGATTTGGGGGTTACAGATACATTTAGTGGGCGGGTACATTTGTGGTCAGGAATTGCAAATAATGAGGACTGACTGTAAGCCCAAGGGCTGCCTTCTGTTCCTTGTAGTAGGCATAGCTGAATAAACTTAGCGCCAGTTAGTGTTTGAATGGTGCGGCTGTGCATTTGAAGTCACTGAGTGTAACCTCTTTCTGTCTGCCTTTTCCCAGCGTGGAAGCCAGTCCTCCAGGCCAAGGAAGTCCTCTGAGCAGCCTGTTACCTTCCGCCTCAGTGCCCGAGTCGATGACAATTAGTAAGTACTCTCTGAGTCGCCTCCGGCAGTGCTGGGATGACTCCTGGGCCTGTGCTTTCCCCGCGGTGCCTCTGTGCCTGCTCCTACATGACTGCTGTGAAGTGTGGGGTCAGGTTAGGAGTGTGCATCCCTGGGGTGGATGTTGAGTGTGGTGCATGGTTGCATGCTCGCTGAGCCGTGCTTGCACGTGATTTGTGGACTTGTGCACACTTCCCAGGACACGCTCCAGGAGTGGGGCAGCGCTGGATTAGAGGGGCAGTATTCTCTCATTCAGGGTTTTGGGGTTCGCCTCCGGGAAGGCTATCAGCTAGAGCAGGGTTGATTGGTTGCATTTCCTTTGTCGCTCTGGAGGAGTCATTTTTCTAAGTGAGGAAGCCTGTGTTTCTCAAAGATTAATGAAGGTTGCTGGGATCAAGTTCAAACTTTCCAACCTCACCACCCAGAAAAAAGTGTCAGAGAAGTAGTAATTAGGAGGAGGTCTGAGTGGCTTTACGTAATCAAGAGGAGCCTGCTTTGTCTTCATGAGCCAGGCAAGACTGCCCAGAGGCAGGTGGGGCTGGCGTGGGCTCCGGGTGGGCAGAGGCCAGGACTCCTGCCCCCCTTTCTTGTCCCGGGGGCAGGAAGGAAGCTGGGGCAGAGGAGAAACCGCCTCCATTCCCACAGGTAGGATGCAAAGGTATGAACTTACATGGGAAAAAATTTACAGCTTTTCCTCCTAGCCTATAGGAAATCTAGCATTTTCTTAATTGTGAAAGCAGCAGCAAATCATAGGAAGTGGTTAGATGCAAAATGTCACAGGCACCTGCAACAACTGTGGCATGAAAGAGTCTGAGTGTCATTTCTGCTTGAAAACATGGTAGTTTTTGAATGTGATAATAAAGAATCCTATATATTATTATGCCAGGTTTTTCTTTTTTCTTTTTCTTTTTTTGCATTTTCATAATTCTACTTCAATATAGTCTGTTGGCTTTGCAATCATGTTTCTTATTTTATGTAATTTAAAACATTTTTCCTGAGAAGAGGCCCATGAGCATCACCAGACTGTAGAGTGGGCCCATGGTACACAAAAGGCTGCTGCCAGGACCCTTCCTAGAAGGTGCGCCGTATCCCACTCGGATGGCCACGTACACCAGTGGCGGGGCCTGGAAGGCAGCATACCCCACCCCCTCAGGGCTGTCATTGCTAAGGAAGGAAGAGTGGCGTTTGGGGGCAGCCAGTGTCCTCTGACCTAGGGGTGAAGAAGGTCATGAGCAGATGCTGTGAGGTTGGTGTGGTGGGAATGACCTGCCTCCCTTTGTACAGAGAAAGCGTATAGTTTTTTAGGACGCTCCGCAGCCTTAGATTCAGCCGAGCAGGTATTTATAGATCGCCCAGGATGTGGGACATGGGCTAGGACTGTGGTCGGCAAACTCATTAGTCAACAGAGCCACAGTTTGCCGACCACTGGGCTAGGAGAACACGAAGGTTGCTGGTTTTTAAATTTAAGGTTTTTTTTTTTTTTTTTTTTTACCACGGTACTATTACTTACCCTGTAATTCCTTTCTTTTTTTGAATGTACACTTGAAAAATGTGCAAGTCTTTATTTAACGAGGTAAGTTTATATGATTACAGTGACTGGAGAGCCACAATGGGCTGACTTAAATAGCAGGTGGCTGTAAAGATGAAGACAGTGAGAAGGCAACCGTGTTATGAAGCTGACCTCGATGCTGCCTGTGCGGCTGGGACTGAGGCCGCTGTGGAAAAGACAGGCCAGTGGGCGAGAGCATTGGGAAGGTGTAGGCTGTCCTCTGCTGACCTCAGACACTTCCCGGGAAGCAGTCGGAAGGCTTGGAGAAGTGAGGGGCTGGCATCTCTGATCACTGTTATGGGGCACCTTGTCCTTGCAGCACAGGATGCTCTCTGTTTCTGTGGGGACACCTCCATGTAGGGGTGAGGCGTGACTCTGCATCTAGAGAACACGGGTTTTGCCTTATTTCCATTTGTTTTGAAGAGGACAGGGACCCCGAGATTGGGGACATGAATAACAGGCTTCATGGCTCCTCATTCTAGGAGTCCAGTTGTCCTAACTTTGGCTGCCAAGTAGGTTCCTGCTCCCCAGACTGAAGCCCCGCCTCTCAGGTACCGGGTTCGCTTTGTCACTGCTCTTTGGGGTGTACAGAGACTGCGGACCATGGGTCTTCCTTCTGTCCTTGAAGGACTTGCTGGCCCTGCTTGTGTGTGTTCACTGAGGAGGCTGCTCTGAATGGTTTTGCTGATGGCAGGGGTGTAAGCCATTTTTCTTATTGTTACTCATGCAATTTTCTAAAAACATAAACCCCGTTTTATTATTTCTTGCCATGTCCAGAGTGTACAGTTGAATCTCTGAGGAATAGGTCACTGTGTCTACATGTTGACACTCCATATCATTGTCAGTGTGGTGTGTGGGGATTGCTGTGTGGATATGGGGGTTCTGTGTCCTGGGAGGCTGTGAATCTTAGGGAGCCTAATGGGGGCTGCACTGTCGTCCATCCTGTGTGTGTTCCGGCTGAGAAATCAGGGTGCTTAGAAACTGTGAGTGGAGGGGCTTTTGACTTGTGTACCCTCTTCCTGCCCCACCTCCTGTGTCATCACAGGAAAAGAAGAACCGTCTGTCTGGGTAAGCAGGGTGCATTAGTTTGCTCGGGCCGCCATAATAATAAACCACAGACTGGCGGCTTAACCAACAGACATCTGTTTCTCTCGGTTCTGGGGGCTGACAGTCCAAGATTGAGGTGTCAGTAAGGCAGGTTTCTGGGAAGAGCTATCTCCTTGGCCTTTTCTCTGTGCACCTGCACCCCTGCTGTCTCTGCCTCTTCTTGTAAGCCCTGTGGAAGAGGGCCCTGCCCTACGACCGCGTTTAACCTTAAAGACCTCTGAAGCCCCATCTCCAAATGCAGTCACATTGGGGGTGAGGGCTTCAACATGGGGATTTTGGAGGAATATGATTCAGTCCATAACACAGGGTGTCCCAGGATCGGTGTTCCAGAGTGACCCCAATTCAAATGACGTGCACATCCCAGCATGTGACGCACAGGGTTCCACTCCAGAGATGCCTGACTCTTGCAAACCCCAGAAGAGCCAGGCAAAGAAACCTCGTAGCAGGGATTGTGACCCCACCTCCCACCAGTGGCTTCTCCACGTTATTTAGCGCTCTGTGCCCGTGGCTGCCTGGGCACTGTCCTGCAGCTGAGCCCCTACCCAGCAAGCCTCCCACCCCTGACATCTCTGAGCCGGCTCTGAAATGGCAGAGCGCTTGGTCCTGGCGTTTGGGGCGGATGGTCTTATTAGCACCCAAGAGAGGACGGTTGAGCAGACCCCCGTTACTGCTGTCTTTCTACCAGGCCCTTTGGTACTTAAGAAATCTATTTAGTGGAGCAGTCAAGACAGTTTTGAGCAAACCAGAACACCCGCCCTCCTGCCTCAGAGGCACTTCGTTTCTGCAGTCTGGCTTTGGGTGTGAGGGTCGTGCCTGGCTGGAGTTGGCATGCCTGGTGCTCACGGGAGCAGCGCACTCTCTCAGCCAGGCGGCCGGGTTTCGGGTTCGGCTGGGTGGCCTTCACCTCTCAGTGCCTTGCTGCGCTGTCCAAACGTAAGATGAAAACCCATCTCTGATGGCCATTGCGAGGATCGGCTGTGATGTTCTTAGAGTATTCGGATCAGAGCCAAGAGTCACTATTAGCTATTATCAATGTGCTTATTCTGTGTTCTGCGTTTTTTTTAGAAATTAAATTTATTAGGGTGACATTGGTCAACATTAACGTGTAGGTTTCAGTGTGGGTTTCTGTTACAAGATCTCTATATCGACCGTGTGCCCATCACCCAAAGTCAAACCTTCCTGCTTTCTTACCATGACTTCAAAGAATCTTTTTCTTCTTCATCTCCTGCTCATTCTGTTGAGTGACTGCATAATAGCCTAGTACTTTACTTATTAGAATTTACCAGATTATTTTTTTGGGGGGGTCATCAGGTTTAAAAAATTTTTTTTTGCTGTGAGTTTTTTTTATTCATTGTACATAAAAAGTGAGAAGCTCTAAGCTTGTAGTAAGTGCATTCTAAGACTACCATTCATCATCATTATTATTTTTTTGACACCTGTTCCTCTGCATCAAATTCCTGGTTGTGGGCCAGTGGACCACAGTTCGGCCTGCCTTTCTGGGCTGTCTGTGAGCAGCCATTGTATTCAGGTAAAGTGTTGCCAGGAGTGTGACAGCTGCCAGTTTCTTTACTCTTCACCAGCCTTAGGTGCTAACATTTTATGCATTTTTGCTACTTAGAATCAGGAACATGACACTTTGTAGTTGTGTGACTGCATTCCTGTGGGGTGTTTCCCTGGTGTGAACTGTAGGTTTATATCCTCTGGTGTGGGGCCTTTTGTTCTCCCATCGGGTGTCCTGCTGATGTGGAGAGGACCTGAGAATAGGAGGGGTGGGTCTAAAGCAGGTGTTCTTTGCTGCTCATGTGGCTGTGTGGTTTGGCTTGGCGAGGAGGCTGAAAGGAGGGCCTAACACACCTTGTGTAAAAACAATACTTAGTAAAGTAATAATTGGCTTCGGCAGAGTTCACAGGTGCCCAGGATTGTGCCTGGGTGTTTCAAGTTGCATTTTCTCATTTAGCCCCCAGCCATCTGGAGGTGCAGGTAATATTCTTTTTGGGTAAGAAAACAAGGACTTAGTGAGGTGAGGTAACTTATCCAAGACCTCACAGCTAGGATATCATTCAGCCAATATTTATTGAGCATCTACTATGTGACAGGCATGGTTCCCTGGTAGATTAAGTGGTGAAGTGTGTGAGGAACCTGGCTTTCTGACTCCAAAACCTTCTGTTTTCTCCACTTCTAGATTACCTAAGGGGACATGCTTCACCATCACCCGGTCAGGGCATGCAGCCCTGTGCCAACAATGTGTGGGCATCCAGGCCTGGAAGCCTTACACTTACTGTTCCTTTTTAAAAAGTTATTTTATAAATAAAGGAAGGAATTCTCC